AGAGAGAGAGAGAGAGACAGAGAGAGAGACAGAGAGAGAGACAGAGAGAGAGACAGAGAGTGTGTGTGAGAGAGAGAGAGAGGGGTTCTGGGGATGAGCCGGATAAACAAACACAAAAAATAGAAAATCACGGAGACTGTGAGTGTGTGTATGTATACATTTATGTCTGTTTTTCTGTACACCTGTGAGTGTGCATAACACCATTTTCAAACCATATCAGCCACGTCATCTGTGTATCCCCCCAGACAAGTGTGTCTACAAAGGCTCGACTTACCGTCAGGGCGACACCTGGTTTGACGGCTGTGACAAAAAGTGTGAATGTAATAACGCACGAGATGGAAAGTACAAATGTACCGACAGGTGAGCATTTAATTAATCATTTATTGTTCCTTTTAAGAATAATGTAATGCACAAACTAGACAAACATGTTTCAACAAACAGACAAATAAACGCCCAGAAAATAGTAAAAACATACCTTCCGGGACACAGACTTTCACATTGAAGACTGAAACAGGTGTTGATTCAATTATTTGTTCCCATTAAGAAAATGTAACATGCAAACACGAAATTAGAAACTGTGTTTGCTACTCTCTTGTATCACCTCGAATTTTCGATACTTATACATGATGTATAACCTAATTGTGATGAAACGTCAGTAGAACTATTACGAAAACAAATTGAAATGGGCGTATAACCGCAGCCGTACTTTTAACTCCCTTTAACTTTAACCCTCACGAACTAGGGCTGGGCAATGAGTCGCTTTAGCAAAATCCGGATAATATGTTAGTGCACCTCTTCGGTAAATAATATGTTATGAACCGATTCGGCAAATGGGTTAGATAGAACCACTTTGACAAACGGGTTAGCATCACTTCAACAAATGGGTTCACCCACTTCGGCAAGCGGGTCTGGAAAGGGAGTTAAGAGTCTAAGAGTCTGACTTCGGATAATGTTTTATTGATGATTATCCGATTATCCGGATATTTATCCGGATTTTGCCCACCTCTATCACGAACCTCTTGTTCCCACTAGATGCCCTCGCTACCCTGAGGTTCTCCCCAAGCAGTGCAAACTCTTCAGCATCCCTGGCGAACCTTGCTGTAAGGAACTGGACTGTAGCCTTGACCCCAACCCTGTGACCTTGGCGGCTCCTACCGTGTCCGATCAGACGACAGTTAAACCAACCTTGGCTCCCAATGTACCCACCATAGCGAGCGGCGTGCCTCTCATCCCAGTCACCGTGGCGCCAGGTAGGACTGATTGATTGATTGACAGAAGAGGTGAAATGGTCTATTGTCTTTGTCATTGTCACCATCGTTGCCATGATTACTGTAACATTTTTGTACTTTCATGACATCTATATTACTTTTACTGCCGGGACACAATAAACCTTTTTAGTTGGTAGGGGATTTTTAATTTTGCCCCGGTGGCGGCAGAAGCCTACTCTTATCGATTTTAGACCACCAAGGAATCTTTAACGTGCGCAACTTGCACTCGGGACCTCCGAGATTTTTCATTCTTGTCCGAGAGGGTAGGTGTAGATCTTTCCTGCCAGAAGATCAGGGGTATTGCTAAAAGACAGCAGTAAGAAGGAGCCAAAGAAAAATAGTAAAAAAGCTGCAGAAAGAGTCAGGAGCCCAGAGGAGAGGAC